CCCGCGCTGCCCCTGCGCCCCGGCTCCGACACCGTGCGCGGCCACACGCGCCACCCCTTCGGCTTCGGCCAGGTGCCCGACAACTGGCGCGAGGGCCCCGTGGGCGACAGCACCGGCTCGCAGCGGCCCCGGCCGCCCGCCGCCCGCCAGCGCCAGGCTTCGTCCTCCTCCTCATCATCAGCGGCGGCGGCATCGTCCTTCGCCTACTCGTCGTACGCCCAGCAGGGCTCCTTCCAGCAGCCGCCCTTCGTGGGCCAGTACGAGGGCTACGAGGYGCCGCGCGCCTACGACGAGGCGTACGCCTACTACCGCGGTGCCGGCGGGGCAGCCGTGGCGGCGGCGGGCGCCGGCGCGCTCTACCCCTTCCCGCCGCGCGGCCGCTACGAGGAGCACGGCGAGGAGCAGAGCCCCTACCGTGCCCAAGGCTACTACCCGGCCCCGGAGAGGCCCTACGCGCCGCCCGACGCCCTCGACCGCCGCTACTCGCACAGCCTCTACCACGATGCCGGCGGCGCCGCCGAGGCCGCCTTCCCCGACGCCAACGGCGCCGGTGCCGGCGCGCAGCGGCCGCCCTACGGCAACGTGCCGGCCGAGCCCTACGCGCCGCAGCAGCCGCCCTTCCGCCCGCTGGAGCCCTATGGGGCCCCTCGCGCCGAGCCCTACGTGCCCGCCCGGAGCCCCGAGGTGCCACAGGCGCTGCCCGAGAGCCCGGCCGCCGGCCAGGCCCGCCTCAGCGTGGGCAGCGTCTACCGGCCCAGCGCCAGCGGACGGGGTGAGTGCGCACGGCGGGAGCGCGGTGCCCGGCGAGAGCACGGTGCCTGGCGGGGCGTCCTGCGAGGCCACGACAAGGGGGCCACCTGCGTGTGCCGTGGGGGAACGACGTGGGGTCGGGGCGCGGTGGGCRACGGGGCTGCTGGAGACCCTGCTCCCCCGGGAGCGATGGGGCAGGGATGGGGAAGACGGAGGAGGGGGACGCTTGGCAAGAGTCCATGGTGGCTGCAGACTCGTGGTGCTGGGGTGGTTGGTGCGGGGACCCGAGGTGGATATGTGTGACGTGCTGGTGTTGCAGCGCGCCTTGGGAGAGGCTCTACGCGGCACCCACGCGCCCAGGCTGTCCCGAGGCGCCTCCTTGGCCGTGGGACACCCGCTCATGGTGCACTCGGCTTGCGGGGACAACCACCCTCCCGCGTCCCACTGACCCCCATAGTGCCGAAACCCTGCGGMTTTGGCTGCGCCTGGTGGAGGGTTTTTTGCTCCGTGTTGAAATCTGAGGCGAGGCTGGAGGACGTGAGCAGCAGCAGCCCCAGGGATCTGYTTCTTGACATTCCCCTGGGAAGCCCTTCTCAGCCAGAGCCTCTGACCCGTGTGGCCCTTGGACCCGTCCCACCCTGCGGATCCTGAGAAAAGCCTGGCCCAGAGGGTCGTGCTCGGCGAGAAGCGCTCGTCCCAGCCCTGCCTGAGAGCAGCTCCGTTGYGTGCAGGGAAATAAACAGAGCACGAACAGCCAGCCTGGGTCAAGCCAGGGGCCGTTTGGSCCCACAGAGGATGTGTGGGAAAGAGCTTAGGAAGGGACTTTGTACAGCAGGACTTCCTCCAAAGCCTCCCGTCGTGTAGCGGTCACCGCTCGTGAGCAGCAGCTGGGTAGGGGTCCAACCCCTCCGGCACGGCCCCGGGGACATGGTCTAGGGCCCATTACACTTATCTATCCAAGAGGGAGGTCCCTGCATGCTAAAGGGCCAGGTGGCCTGGCAGAAGGACGAGGTGGATCTCCAGGCCAGCTGTGATGCTGGAAGTGGTGGAGGAGGCACCAGTGACTCATTGACAGCAAGGAGGGGAGCGCGGGGTTATTTCCCAGCGAATGCAGTACTTGCTTTCTGCATGTACAGCCCTGCTCTTGGCATGTGTTGACCAAAGGAGAGGAAGGGGCAGCTCCCTGGGCTCATCCCATTGCATGGTCTCTCCACCACAGTCCTCACCCATCCCRGCCATCCCCACTCTCTCCAGCCAGGCTTTACCCAGGAGAGCTGCCTCCTYGCCGGGCTGTCCAAACGGAGGCCTGCAGCGCACAGAGCCACCTTGGCGGCTTTCATAAACGGTCAAATCACTTTTAAAACAGCCTCGCATGCTAATTACGCTCCTAATCCCCTCAAGCACTGAGTAATCCAGCCCGGTTCCAGCTCGCAGTCTGCGAGGAATGTGCGGCATTCCAGGCCACTCGCTGTGCCGCCTTACAGGCACCTGGGGATTTTAAGGAGGCAATCAGATCGCTGCCTTTTGCAACTTGGTTTGTAAGGGCTGCGTGAGCATCGTCATCTGCCTGCCGCCTTCCACCCAAAACACTCAACAAAGGCGTCGCAGAAGACAATATCTGAAGGGCGTTTGCAGCCCTGCTCTGGCACCGACGGCGAGCGCTGCTCAGCTTCTGGCTCTGGTTTGGTGCTCGCTCATGGCTGTGATGATAGTCTGTGCTCAGGCTGGCCCTGGTTCCTTCTGCCTGTTGCTGCTGTCTTGTGCCAGCAATGACAGGGTAGAGCGTCTGGCCGCGGCTGAGTAATGACCATGGACTGCGGTGGAGAGCGTGGTGCTGGGCTCTGCCGCGCGGTGGGAAGGACAGCCTGGGAAGCGGGCTAGCTCTGCTAAGCCCTGTGGCTGTTTTCTGACGGTTTTCTGCTTCTGAGGCTGCTYGGTGGCCTCTTGGTGTGAGCTGGAGGGGCTGCATTGTGGCCTCTGGTCTGGTCCTGCACATAAGCTTGGGTCTACCCTCAACCAAGAGTGTAGACCAACCCCAGAGTAGCTGCCATCCCTAGGTTTCACCACACTTGTCAGGGGTGGTTCATAGCTACTCCCTCTGCTCCAGACATGGATAAGTTGGAGAGACTGTTAAAGACCCAGTGTGACTCTCCTTGGAGCATCAGACCAGAGCAGAGGTGGGAGATGAGGGTCACAGATGGCTTGTTCCAAAGAAGGAAATGCAGCAGATCCCATCGAGGAAAGGGGAGCAGATACCAAAAGACCTCAGATCTCCCGCCTGTGAGCGCCTGAAGAGAATAAAGTGTCCTCAATACAACCAGATCTCAAAGAAAATGGGGAAGCCTCCAGGCAAAGGTCTGTGTTTCAAGCTGATGCCAGGTCCTATCCTGCTCTCAATATCTTGTCCAGGAGTCAAATCACAAACCTTCCATCTCATGCAATGGAGCTCTTGGCTTGTGAAAGCCAGTCCCGTGCAGAGTCCAAACTGCATTTGCAATCATGCCACAGGTGTGGAAGATAATGTGCCCATGCACATAACCCAKGCCAGGCCTCCGTAAGGCCGCATGGACACCCTGGGCCTGAGTGACAGAGCAGGAGGGGAGCACGTGGGTCAATGTGACTTCGTGTGCTGTCTTTGAGAATGCAAACTTCTGCAAGTTTGCAAGTCCAAGCAAGTCGCTTGGGTCCGGTAGCTACAGCACCGAACCGGGTGTCCCGTACAGGGCTGCTGGGGTTTGCTCCGAGGGTTAAGGCCTCCTCAGGATGCAAATGTCCCAACAGGCTGACATGAACATGTCAGTTCGTGCTAGGACTTGTGCTCCCGATGCATCTCCTGTTGAAGTCTCTGCTGTTGACCAACCGTTTCTCACCATGCTTGGTAGTGAGGTCCTCTTGAGCTCAGAGGGAGTCTTCTCCAGAAGGTTACTTACCTGAGCAGCTCTCTTCTGCATGGCTGTATCTGTTCCTTGGAGTTGTTAAGTCATTTTATATGGTTTACATTTTTGTATAACTTAAAAAATACTCTTTCCCGAGTGTCATCCTTTGGCCTTCACGGGTCCTATAGGACCTGGGGGAGTCTGTGATCCCGCTGGACATGACTGTCCAGCCAAGGGCAACAAAGATGATTAAGGGAATGGAGCATCTCTCATAGGAGGAGAGACAGAGTGAGTTGGGCGTGTTTTCTCCGGAGAAGAGAAGGCTGAGAGGGGATCTGATTAACATGTGTAAGTTCATGAAGGGGGAATGTAGGGAGGAAAGGGCCAAGCTCTTCAAGTGGTGGCCAGTGATAGGACAAGGGACAGTGGGTAAAAGTTGAAATACAGGAAGAGCTGTCTCTTCTATCTCCGTAAGAGGAAGAGCTTCTTCACTGTGAGGGTGCCCAAGCCYTGGCACAGGCTGCCCAGGGAGCCTGTGGTGTCTCCTGCTCTGGAGATCTTCAGAACCCAGCTGGATGCGACCGGGTGCCCCGTGCTCTGGGTGTCCCTGCTGGAGAAGGGGTGTTGGACTAGGTRAGCTCTACAGGTCCCTTCCAACCTCAACAATTCTGTGATTCTGTGACCACTTTCCCTTGGACACAGGCACTGGGAGAGCAACCCGGGGCTGCCGATTCCCTCCTTTGCACCCAGCAACCTCCAACCAGCAGGACTGGAGGCTCCCACTCTTACCTGGAGTCACTCCTTTCCTGATGGAGGAGAAAGCGGGGCTCTGCCAAGAGGCTGTGGCTATGGAAAATTCCAGTGTTCGAGGGCACATGAGGCCTCCGGCCCGTGCTGGAGCGCAGACCCCTCCAAGCCCATGTTTCATGCAAGCAGCACTGAACAAAGGGCTAATTTTATGAGTTTGACCTCATCTCCCTTTGGCCTGGCTCCGAGGGCTTGGGAAGCAGGGGGAAGCAACGTCTGTATATATTCTTGTCAACTCGCAATATTAAACACATGTGAACTTTCTAAAATAAAAACAACCCCCCCGTCCCTCCTCCTCGCTCCGTTTACTCTCGCGTTTGTTTTTCCCTGGCTGCTCTGATGTGTCTCCGAGTCGGCTGCTCGGAGCCCGCATCACCCTCAGCCACGTTTCTTCTGTTCCCCTGTTTTCTTCTGTTCAGCAATCCCGCTTTCATTTCCAACGTGTAGTGTCTCTGTTATCCCCGAGGCTACATCTGAGAGCCTCCTCCTTGTCTCMTCTCCTTCTCCTTTGCCTCCCCTCCTTCATTTTTTCCTCTTCTTCTCCTGATTAACCGCAGCAGTTTTTTTCACCGAAAAACATGGCAGTGGTTTTCTTTCTGCCTTGCCCTCAAATGATGTAGAAAAAGAAAAAAAAAAGAAAAAAACCACACAAAAAAGGTGGGAAATAGTCTGCTTTAGAAACCAGGGCAAGAAGGAGGTGCCTCCTTGGACAAAGCTGGCTCTTGCTAAGTCGTGATTCAGCTCCTACAGGGCAGGAACTAGCCAAGACAGCTGTCTGTCTGTCTATGTTTTTAAAAAAACATCCCCGTTGCGTTTTGCCTCTTGGTGTCCAGATTTGTAGTGTGGAGGTCTGCGGTGGGGTTTCCCTGCGCCCTTGGGAGGGAGGCACCCGTGGCACTCGTGGGACCTGCGCTTGGGAAGTCACCTCCGGGAGCTGTACATGTGCGCTCAGGGTGACCTGAGGCACTGCCCACGTCCTCAGGCCACCCTGAAGGGGCACCCAAGGGTGTGCTAGCCTGAGGAGGGCACGCGGGGCCAGTGCTTGGGCTGCGGCTCTGAGTCACAGCAGCCGCCGTCCCCCGGGACGTCCTCCCTTTGGGGAGGACACAGCTGGTGGTGGGACCGGGTTCGAGGTCCCCGCTTGTCCTCCTGAGCGTGGGGTGCTGGCGCAGGGCATTGGCACGTGCGTGGGACAGCGCTGGGTCTCCCGCCTGGAAAGTGGCCGGAGAGCCTGGAGTGCGGGGGSAGAACCCGGAGCTGTCACCCGGGCGGGCAGCGCAGTGCCCTGGAGCGCACGGGGAGGACCCAGGGCTGTCACCCGGGAGGGCAGCACGGTGCCCTGCGCYGCGACACGAGGGCACAGGGGAGGCCCTATGGCCAGCGCGGTGGGACCCAGGTGCCCACCCGCTGCGCGGGGACAGCGGCAGCGCCAGGGCCCCGCTCCTGCTGCCTCCACGTGGCTCTCATTACRTTTATTTTCCTTCTCCTCCTCACCTAGCAACTGCTCGGCCCAGCATATTTCCCTGCACTTCCCAGTGGGATTTGACTCGGCTGCGCGGGCAGGGGGGGCTCCAGGGGGGTTGGCCCGAGGGACAGAGCTCCGTCCCTGCCTCCTGGTGGCACCTTCCACCCTGRGGACACCGGCCGGGTTGAGCAGCGATGTTGCTGCTCCGGGAATCCCGTGCTATGGCCTGGGATATGACCAAAAGGTGCCTGGGAGAGGCCCCCAGGGAGCGTGGCCGGGACGAGAGGGGCCAGGAGGGGCCAGCGGCTGGGGCCCGGACTCCTCATTGGGGCAGAAGTTGCAAAATAGGGGATTTTTCACATGCAAAAGCAGACGTGAGCCTGGACACCGTGCTGTCCTTGCCCACTCGGTGCCCTCTGYACCCACACAAACAGCGCGCTAGCGAACATGTCTTTTTTTTTACCAATAACTCTTTTCATGATGCATAACACGAAGGGAACGTGCAGGAGGAGAAGCACAAGCCCTCTCCCACCGTGGGTGCCCCGGTCATGGTTACTCTTGGGGTCTGCCCCATCATAAACCCAGCTAGAGGGACCCCGGTGCCCCCAAACCCAACCGTGACACGGGGCCGTCCCCGCCGAACCGCTGCTCCACAGCCGTGTCGAGGGGAAAAAAAGCACTGCTGGGAAAGGAGTCACATTTCTGCGGGGAAACGTCCAAGGATTTACTATAAACAACAGCGAGGAGGAAACATTATTTGCTAAATGATGACAAATGTTCCTGTCCAAGCGCCCGTGTGAAATCATCTCGCGAGCGGGTCCCGCTCGGCGCCTGCGAAGGGGAGAGCGGCGGGAACGGAGCGGCTCCCCCCGGGCATTACATCAGCAGCGACGGCCGAGCGCGGAGCAGGAAACGAGCTCCGATCCAGTGACGTGATCCCCTCAGGGGAAGCCAGGCCGAGAAACAAGAAGGCATTGTTCTTCTTGGAAAAAAAAAAGGGGGGGAAAAAAAAGGAAAAAAGGGAGGAGAAGGCAAAAAAAAAAAAAAGGAAAAAAAAGAGGGGGAAAAGGGTAAGCTCCTGGTGCAAGAAGAGGTGCTGACCCAGCACCTCTGAAGCTCTTGCTGCATCTCTCCCCTGCAAGGATGGTGGGATGGGGCTGGTGCTGGACAGGCGGCCGAGGGTTGTGGGAGAGGCTGGGACTTGCGTGAGGCTCCTCTTGGGCAGCCTGGGCAGCCTGATGCCAAGAAGCTCCCACTTTGCTGCTCTTCATCCTCCTGATGAGGAGCACCTGAAAAGACTTCAGGAGGAAACACCCCAGTGGTCCCGGGAAGAGGCGTTGGAAATGGGAGGCTGCGGGAGATACAAGGGTGTTTCTGGGAGGAAGGACCCATCTCCCGAGTCCTGTCTCCCAGGTCAGGGTTCAAGTGAGGCTCTGTTGCCCATGGTGGGCTGAGGAGCGCAGCGCTGGGTRCAGCCGAGGTCTCTCCCAGCCCAGGGACATCCCTGCGCTCCCTCCAGCCTCTCCCAGCCGCCTTGCACCGCTGCTGCTCCCTCGCCCAGCAAGGCCACGTGCCCGGGGTGGTGRCTGCAGCTGGGACAAGGCTGGAGCACATGGGGATGCAGCAGTGAAACCCCAGCTGTCCTGTGTCTCCTTGGCRGGGAGATGTTCCCACTCCTGGGGCCGCTCTGCTGCTCGGGGCTAAGAGTCCTGGCGTGGGAGATGCTCAGCTGGGACATGGTTGGGTTGCTGCCTCGTGGGTCTTGCACGAGCAGCCTGCACCACAGCTGCGTATGGGAAAGGTGAAAGGGAAGCGGTTCATGGGACACCCCCCTTTCCTGGTGTCCTGTCACCGTCATCCGTGGCTGCCGCTCCGCTGGGAGCTGATGGTGCAGCGAGTCCRTAAGAGGGGGTCCAATAACCCCTGGTCCCTCCAAAGGGTAACAGGCCGGCRACGTCTCACTTCATGATCTCCAGGAGGACAGGTTGAGCAACATGGCTCTYGAAAATGCAGGATTTGGCTTTGCCRATGGAAGCTGCAATGGGGCAGCAGTGGGGGCCTCTTCAGCTCTAGTTGCAAAGCGTGGTCCTCACTAAGCCAGGCTCCCAGCAAGGCCAGGGACGAGGCCCAAGGGCCGCGCACGCAGAGCGAGGGCAAAGCCTCGGCCGGAGCCTCCGCTCAGCACCGTGTCCTCCCTCCCTGCAGGCCTGCCCGACCTGGTGCCCGACCCCAACTACGTGCAGGCCTCCACCTACGTGCAGAGAGCCCATCTGTACTCGCTGCGCTGCGCCGCCGAGGAGAAGTGCCTGGCCAGGTGGGAGCGTGCCGAAAAGTCACCGTTTTTAACGTAGATTGGTGTTATTGTGCCCAAAAGCACAGTGCGCCCCTCTGTTCGCAATCCAGGACTGCACTGAGCTTGCTCAGGTCTCAGCAGCCCCACTGCACGTCCAGGACAGGCAGCGAATTTAGCAAATTTAGCACATTTAACACCGTGCAAACCCAAGAGCTCAGGGAAGCATCTGCYGATTCCTGCGGCTGGTTGTGTAATCCCTTACCCCAAGGGGTGTGAAAAAGAGGGAAAATGCTTGTGCTCCACCTTTCCTGTTCGGAGCAAGAGTGGAGGCATGGAGACATGGAGACATGGAGGGAGCTGGCACCGGTGTGCGCCCATGGGCATGGCCAGAGGGTGGGAAAAAGGGAGAGGAGAGGAGAGGAGAGGAGAGGAGAGGAGAGGAGAGGAGAGGAG